GACGGGTTTGCTGGCATTGTGCCGCCCGAGTTGGAGGACAAGAAGCAGGCCCTGTCTTCCAAGGAGACACTTGCCCCTCGGCGAGTGCTGGTTCCACTGGTGCCTCTTGAAAAACAAATTGTTTCTCAAGAATCGTTTCATGGGCTACGGCGTTTCGGTGCACCATGTACCTCAGGGCTTCCGGAGTCGGCCTCCGGCCTCCGGCCTTCGCGGGGAGGCAAAATGGAGTGGGATTCCCGAGGGAAACCAACGTGGGGATGGTTTTGCCGGGATCCAACTGATTAGTGTCCAACTGTTTAGGGGTCCTCTTTAGTGTCCAACTGATTTTGGGATTTTGGGGGTTCCTGAAATTCCAAAACCAATTCCAGCTCATTCCCTGCTGAGCACCAGCAAGTCCTTTGGATCGCCGAGTTTGTCACATTGATGAGCAGTCCTTCGCGGAGGTCGAGCGCTATGCAAAGATTTTCTGGGGTGTGAAAGTTGCGGGGACTCCTGTGATACTGTGGATGGACGAAATCCATTTCGCACCACGCAAGAAGCCTGGAATGAGGATTCTTCTGCAAATACCAACAAGCAATGGTTTCCCATGGTTTCAAAGTGGTGCAGGATTTTGTCCGTCCACAGTACAACTGAACCTCTGTCGCAGAGTGAGCTACAATAAAACCTGAGTAGAGAAGCAGTCGGGAACGGTCTCAATAACACCACGTGTTGATTGTGACTGAGTCAAGGCCTTCCAGCGGTATCACAGAAGTGGACAGGCAAATCCGAGAGCAAATCCTTGCCCAATCCCGTTTAGTCCCAACTGATTGACCTCTTCTTTTTTCGATGTTTCAAGTTTCAATCTGTGTCAAAAATAAGGGAACCCTACATGACCTTGTTTTCTTAGGTTTCCCTTCAAACGAAGGCCAAAAGGCTGCATATATATATATATATATGCACATGCCGAATGCCCCTTCTGCGCGTTCTGAGGATACTTTGTACCAGGCCGTGGTGAAATTTGTGGAGGAGCACATCTCCGATTCAGCCATCCAGGAGGAGATTTGGCGCAAGCAATTCGCCAAGCAGTTGTTCGCAACCGACAACCGGGTCAGCGTCTCAGGAAATGCGCTCAAGTCAGTTGTGATGATATGGGGGACTTGAGTCAAATGTGGGAAATCCCCATTGACAATCAGAGATGTACACTCCCCTGTCAATTACCTTTGCAGCTCGCTGCTTCACACCCGCGTGCAGGTGTGCTTTGGCTGATTGTGGGAAGATGGCAGAAGACTTGGGGACGACTCCCATGAAGTGTTCGGCGATTTTTTTGGTAGCCAAAGATTCCTGCTGGCATGGCGACGCTGCTGGACCTAGAACCCAGAGGTCGTGTCCGGCAAGGGAAGTCAACCAGATCCAAAAAGAGCGGAACCTTGCAACTTGGTGCTTGGAGGTTTTATCCAAGCGCGCGTGCCACTGCATGGCCGGCAAAAGCAAGAGGGGAACGCCGGTTGGGAGACAAAAAGTGCTCCTTTTCGAGGGAATTCCTAATTGAACAAAGGAAACTAAGTACTGCTTTTCCAGCAATCAAGGTTCGGAACACTGCAGTCTTCATGAAAAGGCCCCAACAGTCCACTTCCATGATTGGAAAGACAGGCACTCGTTGGAGCCGACTTCGTATGCTCAACCCAAGTCGGGTAGGTAAGCCACAACGGCAGTACGAAGGGAACTCACCCCTGAGAAGATGCAGCCATGAACACTAGCCGCAAAAGTTGTAACCTACTCACCCGACATGGGTTGAAATGGTTGAACGTCAAGTTTCCACGTCCCAGCAAACAAATATTCGACTGAGACCCTCACGAGAGGGGCGCTAAGGTGAAGGCTGTGCAGTCTGTGCTGGCCTCAGGGAAATCCCTCAAGCCAGGTGCCAATCAGCGGGTTCCAGCCGGCACAAAAAGGACGATCATGTGCGTCGCGCATAGGACTCATCTGTTGGAACCCGTCTAGGATCACCAACGAGAATCGTTGCTGCCCTCCACAATGCCCAGACGATGTTGGCAAAACTGCAAGAGCATCTTCCAAGGACCTGAGTTCCCCTTCCGCCTTGCCCGTGATTGGAGGTTCGGATTATTATTTTTTGGAACCGCCGGTTGTGTTTTAGAGTCGGTTGGGGGGCCACCCCCAACCTCCAAACCGCCAATCCAAATTATTAACTACTGACAAGCGGAAAGACATGTTTTCCTTTGGTTCTCTTTCAAGACCAACCGAAGGTTTGTCAACAAAAAGGGGGCACACCGCAGGCCCCTCCACTTGTAGGCCTTCTCGAATGTCGTTGTGGGCCCCAGAATCCAGGTGCAGGTTTTGAATGTGACTCGGTCGGGTGGATATTGCCCTTATGATCATGGATCCTCATGAACAGACCCAACGGCGCTTCTGACGCACGCTTGCGAGTGTTCCTTTGGCCAGAGGGATGAGAGAGGTGTGTGTGTGTGTGTGGGTGCGTGCGTGCGTGCCTGCGTGCCTGCGTGCCTGCGTGCGTGCGTGAGTGCGTGCGTGCGTGCGTGTGTGTGTGTGTGTGGGTGGGTGAGTGCGTGCGTGCGTGCGTGCGTGCGTCCGTGCGTGCGTGCGTGCGTGCATGTGTGTGTGTGCGGAGTGGCAGAATACCCTGTCACCACAATTGAGAGCAGGGGGCAGGAGCACCATGGCAAGTCTCCTGCCAACGAAGACACTTGCCATCGGTGGTGATACTGGGACTGATCATCCCAGCGTACCTGCGCAACTCGTGTGATTCAAAGTCCTTTTGGCCCCCTTGGTTGCGGCGCTGTTTGTGCTTCTTGTTCTTTCGGGTAACGTGTTCGCTGCTAGAGGGAAGCCGAGTGCATTGCGAGCCGAAACTTATGCATGAAGAACCTTATCCAAGCCGAAACTTACCAGTTGTACTCGAAAGATTAGCCCCCTCCATCTGGAGTTTAAGTGTGTACACCCCATTCGTGGGGAATCCTCGGGTGCACCCATCGTGTGACCCCGGGCCGACTCTGTCGGAAAATTTGACCTCAACGTGCTTATCAGAGATCAGCGGAATTTCACATTTAACCAGGAACGAGGTTTCACTAAAGGGAAGACAGCCACCTCTTCATAGCTACGTTTCACCATGCTGGCTGCTGCTGCTTTCATGAGCTGACGTTGATTGTGGCTTGTTGTTTGTATCTTGCCTCAAGGATGAGCTTTATCCTTCTCGAACGTGTTGTTGTTTTGTCATGTCGCGTCGGGATGATCGTGACAGATCCAGAACTCGGCGCAGACGGGATCGGAGTCCTTCCCCTCAGTCTCGCAAAGCACGCCGACGTGAACACAATGACAATCAGGTCTCGGAGGGCATGGATTGGAACAACTTGGTGTCCTGACAACACAATTCGGGCTACAACTCCAACAACACTTTTCCGGTGATGCCAGGCAATTATCAATCGATTCCAAACCCTACGCAGCAATTCCATCATTCACCGGTCAACTACATGATGCCGGTTCCTCCGGAGCCCACGCCAGCGAAGTTCATGACGCCCGTGATGCCACCACCGGTTACTTCTTCCCAAGCTTCACCATCGCCTGTACACCCAGCTGCGCTACCAGTTCGACCTCAGAAAGCATGGCTTACTCCACCGGTTGACTGGACACCTGGAGATGGCATGCTAGACATCAACCAGCTCTACTCCTTTAGCCTGCCCATGACGGTTGCCAACACCCCGCACAACAACCTACGTGACATGTCTGGCATGGACATCCGAGACGTTCGCCTGGTTCAGGTCATTCACGGGGGCATCACCAACTGGCTACTCCGACCATTTGCTCACGGCAGATTCGTGACGTGGGAAGGCTTTCGCACTCGCACCGAGGCCCTGCTTTGGAGTACCTGTTCCAAACTACTACGACGATCACAGTCGATCAACCTGCTTACTTTGGAAAAGGACCTTGCCAACTTGCTGGGGCTCAACCTTGACGACTTCAACCAGCGTATCAAGGTTCACGACCATTTGGCCAACCTGGTGCTTCAGTTTCTTCAGCAACACCACGCGACTCTCACGCCCTCTACCCAAGCAGAAGACATGGTCAAGAAGTTCAATGATCTAAATCGAGCTCATGAGTTGCTCCAGGCTCAGTATTCGGCATCGCTACGCGCTTCGACTTCCCCTACAGTGCCAACCCAGAAAGATGATGCAGAGTTGGTTACACCACCACCGGCCAACCACACACAATCTTCGTCACCGACCAGCTCCCTGCCTACGGTCAGTGCAGCGGCCCTCGATGGCAAGTCGTTTGATGGCGCGGTGCAACCCCGAATCATCCAGTCTCTTCACGGGCTTTCTTCACCACCTTCCAAGCCGGCGGCGTCACAATTGCTCACCATGCACAGCACGCCAGAAGACGTCATCAAGTACTACACATGGACCAGTGATCAGCCACGCTTGTATCTCAAGCAATCGCCCACTACCACTACTTTGGCTTCATTGATCAAGTGGGCCAATCACCCATCCCGTCTCAACGGCAACAAGTCCTTGGAATCCATGTCGACCCAGCTCTTTCAGGCGCGCCAACGCACCCCAAAAGGAGACGCACCTACGTTTGCGGCGATGGCAGCTCTGTGGGGACTGGAGCCTGGCTACATCACCAAGCTCACTGAAAAAGCGTTGTGTCACCTCATCGTGACTGCCCGCTTACTCACAGGGTGAGCAGTTACCTTCGCTCACTTATGAGCCCGGAGTGGCAGTTGTGTCATGATTGATGAACGGTTCAAAACTTGCCCGTCCTCTTCTAGCTCTGCACTTGTTTGATGAAGCGCTTGTCTTTGCTTGCGTTGTGAATTGCTTGGTGCTCATTGCTTCTTGCATTTCTGTAGCCGCCACATTGTAGTTTTCATTGGTTGCATGTCCACCATGTTGGCTGAGCTTCGCCGCTGTGGAATCTATGATGATGTTGCACAATGGCATTCCTTAGATACTTTTCTGCACTCGTTGACAATGTTCTCTACGTGCTGGCAATACTGCTTTCCTGGACTTCCGCCACCGTCGATACCAATAGATGAATATGAGTCAGTTGAGCGACTACCTCGGCTGGGCCTCATCCTGGAAGTGCTAGTTGTGGTTCGGATCGCACTTCAGATTCCGATACACTCCATGTCGCGGTCTTACCACACTGTGGCCAACAGGTATGAACTTCATAGATGCCGGTGCACTGCCTATCTATTGATCAGTTTTTTGCAGCGTCTCATTTCTCAAGACTATGGGTACGTCCCGCCGTTCTTCGAGGTTCTTCACTTCTACAAGACGTCTCTGTTGTGTGAAATCATGCACTCCACTTTTGCGGATATAAGACACCTTCGATCACTACGGACACGCTTCCCGGACCTCTATGACTTCATTCAGGATCCAGGTCACCATCAACAGCCATGCGTCTACATCAGACTTTCTCCATGGCACAGTCCCTACTACGTTGGAGCAACAGATCAGGATGTTCTTCGACGAGAACACTCGCGCAGTCGCAAATTTCTACAACTACTTCGGGGACGCCATGCCTTCTTCGAACCTGCACTTCACTACTGGAAGCGATCCAACACTTACTGGCTTTTCTGTGCCATTCCGGTTGAGATCAAACTTCCCATTTCCTCGGTTTGGGTCCAGGAAAGCAAGTGGCAATACTTGCTACGTCCGCATTTGAATGCCCCCTGGGTACACAGACTCCTTCGGAAAATTTGCTTCCGTGAGCATCTGGTTGACTTTCGGCGTCATTCGTTGTCATCTCCCACCTCACTCTCGCTACACAAGCGCTTCCGACGACGACTACATCCAGATTTTCATCGGCAATTACGACCTGAAATGCTGGATGACATTCAAGCACATTACTCCACTCTTTATCAGCTGGGATCGTTTCAGACTATGCGCGATTTGCTGTCGGCGGCTTTTCCACCCACTCAGCTCTACTACTTCCTACGACTCTCCGTCTTCGTCAACGAGCCTTTTCGTTCGAAGGCACAGAAGCTCCTCGCCCAGGTCATGCGTAAACGACAACTTCAGTCACCAAGCACTTTGACACAACTACTTCTCCCACCTCTACATGTACCAAATTGGAAAGCTCAGCTTGGCACATGGTTGCAACGTTGGGTTGCTTCGCATCGTGACTTGTTTCCCTCCTTATTTCTTCCAAAGATCCGTGTGGTGGAAACTCGCAGCGCTACCTTGGGGGACAGGATCTACAACTACCGCACATGGCAACGCAGGTGG